CATTGATCTGGCCTTTCTTCCAACAAATCCCTGAAAAATGAATCGTTCCACTGGAGAAAAATCTCAAGACTGGATTGGGAAGAACAAAGACACAAACACACTCACATTCCCCCAAAAGATTCCAGACAAATGCAGATCCCAAGACCAGATGTGTATAAAAGGGGGGGGGGGCGGAATATGACAGACTAATAAAATGATGCACTAGGGCCAGAAGGACTCTTAGAGATTATTCTAACCCCCTTATTTTATAGTTTGGGAAACTGAAAGCCTCAAAGGGAAGTGACACCCTGAAGGTCACAGAACCCCCACTTCACCGGGTCACTCTGCCTCCATTCCCCCTGACCCCCAGCTTGGACGCCTACTCCTGGATCTTTCCATGGTCCATTTCATTAGGAGTCAAAACTGAGGTCCTTTAAGTACCACAGTCTCCCAGTATGACGAATCCCCTGGCTAAAAGGTGATAGTTTAACACTCTTTCCAGTCGGGTGGCTTTTGCCATAAAGCCTTCTCAGAGAGGGGCAGAACACTTGGTCCCAGAAGACCTCACTGTCTTTCTGAAATTACTATTAATCAAATCTGTCTAAACTGAGTCTGATTCACTGCATTACATTGCAGTAAATCCCTGGAACAATTTGCATCATTTCCAAATACTCTTATAGGGTCAGCAAATCCTAACAATCAAATGTTTCATTTCTCGGATTCATTCCCAGCTTCTCTGTTCAGTAGCTCACAGTCTATAAGCAAAGGTTCAAGTTCACCAGGGGTAGTGGTTCTAAAGGTGCACCAAGAGCTTCTTGATGTGTGGATTTACTATAGGGGGCCCTTGAACTAATTCTGTGCAAAATGTGCTTTCTAAATATAGACCGAAATGTCCATTGATTATCAAGTGGAGGGGCATGGCTATTTTGACATTCAAATAGAGACTTTGTATTTGAAAAAGAATTAGGGAAATTTGGGTCTAGGGCGGTAAGAAAAGGGGGCGGTGCTTGAGGGTGGTTCACACATAATACAGGTGAATTATTGTTGAGAAATTTTTCTTTCAGTTCTTCTCATTATCTCGAGAAGAAAGTCTCAATCAGGTGTGAACACGTCTCCAACCTTTTCCCAACATTCACTGGTCCTCCCTGAGGCTTGGGGCAAGCTCGGGCTCCGAATGTTGGTAAGCCACAGCATGTAGCTAGAATTTTAGACTTCTCTTTTGGTTTTGTTTTCACTGTTCTCACCGTGGTGGTTGCGTCTATTATGGCAAACAATACTGCTTTTTCATCCGTAAGCCGTGACTATATAAAGTTCTGTTTTTAAAAAGAGTAAGTTTGAAAGAAGCGAGGCAATTTAAGGAAACATTGTAACTGACTAGCAGAGGTGGTATAGAAACAAGGCAAAAAAAAAAAAAAAAAAAAAAAAAAAAAAAAAAAAAAAAAAAAAAAAAACATATTTTTGATACCCAAAAGAACCCACTGGTACATGATACATGGTCAAGCTGGGACTCACAAATCTCAAAATTTCAAAGAATTCCGCTGCGACTCACTTGACAAAGCAGATGGCATGGTGGTAATCCACGACTGTTTCTCCTCCGTTTTTCAGTGTGGCAACCTCGGTTGTGGGTATCAGAATGGCTGGAAGTCAGACTCGTGTTTTGAAGTTTCTGCATGTCACAGAATGTAACAAGCTTCAAAAACAAATAGGAGTAATGGCAGCCATCACCCGTGGCACTCCTCCCAATTTATAAGCCTTTCCCATACACTGTAGACTTTAGATGAAGCGACCCTTAAAAAAAAATCTGAGTTCTAAACCCTTCTCTCATTAAAGTGCTGTGTGACCCAGGGCCAGTTACTTAACCTCTCGGAGTCTCCACGCCCTCAAGTTCAGGTCCGCATGCCAGGGCTTTTAGTGAGTCACCTGCCAGGTAGCCAGACTGAAATGCTGTACAGCAGACATGGGAGCTAGGAGAACCAGAACACTCTTCAGCTTGGGGAGGATTCGGGTATTAAATGGCACATTTTGCTACCAGCAAACGGTAGGGGATAATTTGGGGCGAATTCATTCTCTCACTCTACGGCATAATAGGATTCAGGATTATGAAAGAGGCCTAAGGGCCAAGAGGGGGCTGGTGCTCTAGTAGCTGCTGGGAGGGAGTACTGTGTTCCCAAATCTTATTATCTGAAAGGAGGGGCAGGAGAGAGAACAGGAGCTTATGAAAGCTTCATAACCACCACTCCTAGAGAGGTTCTAGAAGTGAATTACAGCAGCAGAAAAGTCATAAATCACCAGTTGCGCGCCTGTGGTCCCCTTTGCTCACACCACAGCCACAGAGCATCCAGGAGTCTGGTGTTGAACGGAGAAAAGGCTGGGACTGTGGTACTGACCGAGGGCCACGGAAGGCATCTGGCAGGACTTCCCAGCCACGCGGGGCCTGTGGTGTGGCTGTAAGCGGCACTGAGACCAGAAGAAGCCCCCAGACTGACTCTGAACTGCTTCAAACACACACACACACACACACACACACACACACACACACACACACAGAGCAAGGCAAGAGCAAGCCAATATATTGAGTGAGTGCCCACTATGTTCCAAGAACTGTCCTAGGTGTTTTTGAGCTGTGCCTTCTCAGTTACTCCTTGTGTAAAACTAACGTGACCTGAGGCAACTGACTGAAGTTCCGAGAGGTTCAGTAACTTCCTCAAGGCCACACAGCTTATAAATAAGTGAGACAGAATAAATTCCAGTCGTCCGTTCTTTCCTCTTTTCTTGCACTATTCTGTACTATCTCTCACATTTCAGAAACACATACATGCACTACACATGCCACATCTATACATCCACTAAAGCATTCGACACATTCACACCCCATACCCCACATCCACACAGACGAACGCCATGCTTAACACACTCTCACATGAACGTCAGTGTTCATCTGGTTGCACACACATATCCATGTAACACAATCCACTGTGCATACACAGACACCTCCATCACACCCGAACCCCCGCACACGTCCACGCACATCTCCCCACTTGTACACATCACATCCAGAAACCTGCCCGCATCACACCAACTCACAAACATCCATGCACACAAAACCGGTAAAATGCATTTGTCCCTCACCCTGTTAATCAAAACTAGTTCTTCAGTATATGGATGAGGGGATCTACTAAATAGGAGTGTCTAAATAATCCAGAAATACCCTCTGAACCTGCAAAGGAATACCAGATTGCTTTCAGTATTCTTCATCGCTGGAGATAATAGTCTAATGATTTTAAAGTTGTTAATCCATATATGAATATTTATGAATACCCTATTAGCCAGAATATTTGATTAATTAAAGTAGCATATTATTCATTCATTCATTCACTGTACAATTACTAGGTACCAATTATGCTTGAGACACCATGGTAGACACAGTAGGGGATTAAAAGAACAAATAAACGATAAATGAAAACACCATGATTCCCCGTCTTCAAAGACAAACACAAGTAACTATATTACAAGGTAACATGGTCTGGAACCTGATAAGGGAGGGGATGTGAGAGGAAAGGGCACAAGGAGATATGATGGCTCTGAAGATTCTGGACCTGGAGAATGGGGACCTGAAGCTTCTGGACCTGTGCCGTCCGGGGAGCAGTGGTCTGGAGGAGCAAGTTCAGAGAGGAAGCCGTGGCATTGAGGTTGGGAGATGAATTTGCGGCACAGGCAGGACAGCTAGGTAGACGAGCCCTGCGGGTGTTTGCAAATGAGGAAAGGGGGCTTCCGGGAGCAGCCAGGCGGAGACACAGATGTGAGAATCATCTATTAGAGGTGATCACTTAAACCGTTACAACTGTGAGATCAGAAACAAGCCAAGGCGAAGAACGAGAGAGGTTGAGTGCAGATCCTTGGGGAACGCAATGTTGTACTTGGCTGGGTGACAGAAGCTCCCATCTTACACGACACACACACACACACACACACACACACACACACACACACACACATGCGTGCGCACTCTCATCTATGCGTTCACCTCCTCAACGTACCTGCTCCCCAGCACTACACGATAGGGCTGCGTTTGCTCCCAGCTCTCTCCTGGTGTAATTTCAAGACTAGGAAAGCTCAGTTGCCCAAAGCAACCCAAGTGATTGTTCTTTAACCCTTCAGCTTCCAATCTTGACTTTTCTAGAAATCTGTACACCTTTGAGCGTGTGGCAGGGGGACAGCAGCCACTGTTGTCAGATGTCAGTAGTTCATGCTATGGCTTGAATGAGAACCTGAAACCACTTTGTCGCATAGGAATGGGGGTGGGGTGGGGACAGAAACACTATGAAGCATCCCACAGTCTGATCTTAAATCCCCCAGTCTTGAGACACCAAGGCAGACTGACTTACTCTGAGACCTATGTCGGTCTCTTCCAGTAACTGTGCCTCAATTCTCCCAACCGAGCATTTTCTAAGGTGTATGTTTCATGAGATGGTTGTCCCATACGGATAGGCTTCTAAGCTTGTTAAAGCTTCTGAGAAGACTCCAGGTACAGATGCCTGATTAAATTTCTGTTCCCAAATGCATTTGACTTGGGCAACATTATTTTTTAATTAGTGACTCTGACTCTGAAGAGAGACGCTGGGGAAAGGCTGGACTATTAGGTCTCTGAGATTCTGTCTGGTGGTGCTATTCCCCAGGAACACCTAGAAGAATGCAGGGGCCTAAAATACAGAGCGGGACCTGGTGGGAAGTTAACCCTTCAGTCTCCTCCCCAGGGAGGCCCGGCAGCCATGACTGCTCAAAACCTCAGCCTGAAGACAAGGCAGCTTCTCAGCAGCAATCAGACACCCAGCTGCCTGCCAGGATCCCACATGGGTGGATATCTGGCCGAGTAAACCACAGAAGCTGGCCTTTCCTCTTTAAGGACCCACACTGCCTATTTCCCAGGCTGAGAACACTCTGGTGGTTCTCAGGTCTGGGCAAGGCAGGGATAGGATCACAGGGCCATCATTAACCCGCTGCTTTTCTCTCTCCCTTCTTAGCCTTGCTGCTTCGAAGGAGGCTGACGCTGCCCGCTCCGCGCCCAAGCCTATGTCACCCTCTGATTTCCTGGATAAGCTCATGGGGAGAACCTCTGGATACGATGCCAGGATCAGGCCCAACTTCAAAGGTAGAGAAAACTTTCCGTCCAGATCCTCAGGGGTCTGCTTTCCTAGATTACAGAAGCAAGCAGCATGGTATTATAAGCAGACGGTAAACACATGGTATGAATCCCACGACTCTTTCCTCTCCCAGAGGCAGACATCGTTAGGCAGTTCTGTCTTCTCCCCACCAGGACCGAAACAAAGCTGCAGAGAATCCAGCTCGACAGTACCCTGGTTTCCAGGAGTCAGTATGTGCATGAAAACCTGTTTGCTCCCTCTGGTTATGATGGACAATTGACAAACGCGGAGAAATGGGTTCACGTTTTGTTTCAGGCACAGACTTTACACTCTGAACTTGGATAAGCCTCTTCCTGTCCCTGGGCCTCAGTTTCCTCATCTCTGCGGTGATAGAGTTGGCTGGATCTGTGGTTTTTATAAACTACGTTCCACGGAGCCCTCAGGCTTTTCCCACCATGTGCCCCAAAAAGGAGCAGAGGGCATAGCGAGCAAGCCCACCCTTGCTCCCCCCCACAGGCAGCTCTGGTTGTATTTGTTTCAGAGAAGAAACTTCCAGCTAAAATGCATCTGCTGAAAGTTCCCGGGGATTGCTATATAATTTTGAGACGTTCTAGCCTAACTCAGAGTCATGATTTCAAATGGCCACAGGGACTGGGCAGGTTACTTAAATGAGTGAGGTGAGCCAAGAGGAAGGCCAAAGGGAGTTGTAGCGATTCTGGAGAAATAGAGGTGCAGGCCTCTCTGAAGCGGGCGGCCTCTCCCCAGCCCCAGCCCCAGCCCATAATTACCTGCAGGAATGAGGGAGGGCCCCATGTTGCCAGATCATCCAGTAGTCTAAGAAGAGCCAGAAATCAAGATTTATGCAAAATGTCCTGATTCCTAAAACATGTGAATTCAAGCAAAACATGTTTGCAAGCTAGATACACTGGGGGGGGGGGGGGTGCAATTTACAAATCCTCACCAAACTGATCTGGAAAGCTTCTTTTAACTCTCAGAGTCCTCTGAGATCTTAACGTCTGTTACAAGAGGAAACCAGCTCCCTTTGTCCATGGATGCCCTGGGAAGTTGTGGCCATCTCAAACTACTGAACAGAGTTCCGCAGGTGTGGTCCTTAAGGGGCTCCCTGTGCACGCCTGCCTTCATCCCGGTACCCCTGCTAAAATCTTATTTCGAGGACCAACTGCCAGCCTCCTAATCAATTCTTGATTCCAAATGCCCTTCTGCACTGTTCCTTTTGGCTCAAGTGCAAGACCAAACAAGGGATGTGACAGCTGATAACAGCTTCCTAATATTTGCTCACTTCGCTCGCCATTCTCCAAATACCCTTCTCACAGTGCTCTGCAAGTGGGGTTGGTTGTTTGGGGCCCACCTCCCACTCCTGTTTACCGTGAGGCTCCCCTGGCACCTTCTCTGAGGCCATACCTTCCAGCATCATTTAGCATGACCTTGCCTCCCTCAGGGACAGGTAAGTCAGGACCAAGGTCATGGCCACAGGGTCTGGGCCCAAGCCCTTCACCAGGGTCACGATTTCAAACGCCCAGGGGGATCAGGTATGGCACATGAGTAAAGCAGGATGGGGAGAAGGAAAGAAAACCAGTAAGCACAAGTTCACCTAAGAGTAGCCATTTCTCAGGTCCTAACAGTAGCTGCCAGGTAGGAATGCAGGCCCTGGGCAGCGGGCCTTCCAAGAGAAGACTTGAGGCTGGAGTTTGCTGTCAAATCGTCCAAGTTGGCAGCTAAATCACATCTTTTAGGAACACCATTGGCCAAACCGAATACATTACAGACCTGACCACCAGGTTGCCTCCGTCGCCGCTGGTGGTTTTCGGGAATTCGAGCCCAGCATGCCCCCTGGTGGGCTCTCTTGGAACTCCACCCTGAGTGCCCTGGGCTAGCTGTCCTAAGGAGGAAAGCGTGTGTTGGACGTGTATGCATCCAGAGTACAGGTGTTAGCTTTCCTCTATGCATAGCACTGTACGTGGCACGTAGATGGCCCTCGATAAACCTTTCAAAAATGAATGAATGAAACAAAATATATGCTAAGGCTTAGAGCATCCCAAGGGATGCTGTCAAGACTTCAATTCAGCTACGTTTACTAAATTCTTTGTCTAATGCTAGCAATTTATTTGTGTATTCACTCATTTATTTACTTATTTGCCTATCAATGGACATTTTTTTTAATTTTTTTTAACGTTTATTTATTTTTGAGACAGAGAGAGACAGAGCATAAACGGGGGAGGGTCAGAGAGAGGGAGACACAGAACCTGAAACAGGCTCCAGGCTCTGAGCTGTCAGCACAGAGCCCGACGCCAGGCTCGAACTCACGGGCCACAAGATCATGACCTGAGCCGAAGTCGGCCACTTAACCGACTGAGCCACCCAGGCGCCCCTATCAATGGACATTTTTAAGGAGTAAAATTTCACCCAGACTATAAAACTATTGAATCAGCTGAGAACAAACTGAGGGGTGATGGGGGGGGAGGGGAAAGTGGGTGATGGGCGTTGAGGAGGGCACCTGTTGGGATGACCACTGGGTGTTGTATGGAAACCAATTTGACAATAGATTATATTAAAAAAAAAATTATTGAATCAAGCAGGGCCCTTCTGCTCCCCAGTCTGAGAACCTTACTTTGAATATCTGGGCCCCAAATCTACAGGACTAGAAAATGTCTTAGACTTTTTCCAAACCTGCAGTGTCTCTCCCCACTTCAGTCTCCTCCAAGTTGGGGGAGGAGAGAGAACACCCCTCTCCCCACCTCCCCTTCCCAAGAACTAGGAGGCAAGGTTTCTCCGCTCTCCCTTGTGGTGAGAGCTGAAACATTGGCATGAAGTGTCCCCTGCCCCCGAGCCCCATGGTCCCTTCACACTCTCACTCAGGCACAAAGAAGATTCCCCACAGCCCCATACAAACCGCAGAGCTCCTGAAAAGGCCATGTAGATAAGGCCCCTGTGACCCTAACACAAGAGGAAGAGGCCTGCATTGTTTGAAAACTGCACAGAGTGATTAATCACTCAGCAGTTTCCTTCAAGCACCAGAAATTTTGCCTGCTCCTGAATCTCGTGAAGGCAGGGCTGGCTGGGAACAGCAGGCTGAGTCTGCAGAACACCGTGGCAATGCAAAGCGTTATACGGAAGTACAGAGCACTAATATCGGAGTCCAGTCCTCCCCCTACCGACCCGATAGCGTGACCCGGAGAAAATCACTTGACATGTCTGCGCCTCTGTTTCTGCATCTGTAAAATGATCCAGTAGGACCTAGGCCTTTCCAGCTCTGATGTTCTGTATCTTCTCTAAGACTCTGTGTAGGATAATGGCTCCCAGGATCAGGGGCACAGCCTAATACAAACACATACACAAAAGCAAAATTAAACTTTAATATTTAATGAAATATATACATTATCCTGCTGCCAAAGGCAGCCAGATTGTAATTTTCTCAAGGATAATTTAATTTCAGATTTATATCAATGAACCACACCTCCCCCATGGGGTCCCTTCGGCTGGTACCCTCTCACACACATAAATCAGGATCTAATTTGTATGGGAGTCACAGCACCACACACTTGCAGGGCCTGGGTGGGGGCTCTGGGTGTGTCATTTCAAGGCATGGGCAGTAACTTTTGGGGGCATCTTAATGGTATGAGACTGAATGAAAAGAAAAGCCCGGTCTGAGTCTAAATGAGGACCAAAAAAAAAAAAAAAATTAATGGGCCTTCGTTGAAGTGGTAGTGACAAGGAGGCAGGCTTCCTCTCAGCATAAGGGAAATTTTTTAGCAGACAGAAGTACCCAACTATGGAAAGGGCTGCTCAAGACAAAATGAGTTCCCCAGTACTGGAAGTGTTCAAGTGCTCAGCCTCGAATGGGTAGCTGGTGCCACCAGAGCAATGGTTCCTAACCTTGGCTGTACATGGGAATCACCCAAGTTAGCTTGTTAAACAAGAGTGTCTGGGCTAATCTCCAGGGATTTGGGTTCACTGGGTCTGGGGTCGGGCTGAGGAATGTGCAGTTTAACCAGTTCCCCACGTGATTCTACTGCAGACAGCAGGCTGGGAAGGAATTGATTAGGTGACCTTTAAGAAACCTTCCAGGCCTGAAATCCTGTAACCTTGTAATTCAAATGGAGAGCTTCCTTAAAGGAATTCCAAACCAAAGGAGCTCAGAGTGTCTACCCAGGTCAAGAGCTACTGTCCCAGACTGATGAGGAAATTGTTACCCAGAAACAAGAAAAGGCATGCCTAAATAAAGTAGCCAGTGCGTATTGGAGCTTTATCGAAAACCCAGGGAGACTGGCACTCCCTTGGAGGGAAAACCTGGATTCCCACCAAAGACTGAGTCCCTTCCTACACACCGAGATTTCTGAAAAGAAGGAAACTTTGGCTGAGTTTAGGCAAAATGTTTGGGCTACTTTTTAAAGAGGGACAGAAGGGAGGGGGTAACAGAGGACACAAGGATTGTCTGCTTCCTTCTTTCCACAATCAGAAAACTTGGATTTGACCCCTGGCTCCACCACTTGCTGGCTAAATAAACCCAAGGAAGTTTATTAAAACTCTCTGCTCCACAGCAGGGACGATAAATTTTTTCCGGCTCCCACAGGACCTCATGGGGATCAAAAAGAAAGCAGACCTGAAAAAAATTCGCAGATTGCACATTGCAATCTTCACGTGAAGGATTATGAGTTCTCATCCAAGTATTACCATTTTCAAGGTCAGCTCAAGGTTTATCACCTTCCTGAAGTCTTTCCTAATGACTTGCTCCCCAGCACCTCTCTCATACCTAGACCCCTATTGCTTATGGCAATCTTAACCCGTAGTCTCACATTCCTCTCTGGTTATTTTATACTGGTCCCCTTGTCAGCTCATGTGGAAGCCCAGCGCTTAAAATCCTGGATTCTGCCACTCTGTAACCTTCAGCATGCCCCTTCTTTTCCTCGAACCTCTTTCCTCCAAGTATAGCGAGCCACCAGCTTTGGAATTAGATAAATCTGAACTCAAACCCTGGCTCCACCATTTACTAGCTGTGTGGTCATGAACAAATAACCTCTCTAAGCCTCTGTTTCCTCATCTGCAAAATGGAGGTAATAACCATGTCTTCTTATGGAGTTGTCAAGAGGATGTAATGAGACAATATCAGTAACACTCTTAACACAGCAGCGAACCCTGTAATGCTCAGTAAATGGTAACTGCTACAACTAATACTATAAAATGAAGAGACTGGGCTTCAACTGGACAGAGGTCCCCTAACAATGAGATCCCAAAGAGCAAATATCTCGCCATTTGTGTCCTATCCTTTTCAGTAGAATTCAAAAGCTTGCCTAGCAAGTATTTAACAAAGACTTATGGACTTCCCTGGAGGTTCCCTCCGGATTCCTCAGCTGGTAATTCCCATCAACGCCCTTTCAGGCAATCATTCTTGGTTCATAAGTTCAAGGCGAGGAACTTGCTGTTCCTGGCGATTCCCAAGATGGCCTCCAAATGTTGTAGCCGTAAATGCATTTCAGCCACAAATTAGAAGACAGCCGATGGGGTTTGGGGAAGTGATTTCAACCATATGGCAGGATGATGAATCATCCTGTGTTAATGAAAGTACATCTCAGCTCAGCCTCTGGTGTTCTGTACCTGGTGCTCACTTGGGGACCAGGGAATCTGGCATAGCAATGTAGCTGGGAGTCCCAGCTGCTCAGGGGTGGGGTGGAGGGCAAGCAAGGGTCTCCACCACCAAGAGGGATCCATCCCTGGAGTCAGTGTCCCAACAATGGGTCCTATCCTGTGGGTTTCTTCCTGACCATGGAGCTAAGCAGCAATCTCTCTTGATTGGCAGGTCCCCCGGTGAATGTGAGCTGCAACATTTTCATCAACAGCTTCGGCTCCATTGCTGAGACAACCATGGTGAGTGAGTCAGAATACAGGCTGCTATTTCCCGCTGGGGGGTGTATCTCTTCCAGAAATATGGCACCCTCTGCATTGCGCTTCCCCGAGGAGGCGGGGAATCTGGTGGGGTTTGGGGTTTCTTTGTTTTTTTTGTTTTTTTTCAGATCTCTAGTGTATATCAGACTTGGACATTTTTACTGTCCTATTCAATGTTTTGGGTGAAGACATGCATCTGAAAATGGTCAAAGAGCTGGCAAGGCTAGAACATGGCAAACACCCAGGATCACAGGAACATTATAGCAACAGGCTGAAGTTTTAGATGAAAAGAAAATACAAAGAGCTGCTTATAAGTTTACAGCTCAACTGTACAATAGCAGAAGACAGCTTATAGAAGCTGCAGTGGGTATACTGGGTTGATTCTACTCCTCTCTCTGTTTTTGTGTGTCTTTCAAAATTCACATGGTAACAAGTTTAGAATAAGTCAATTATAATGGGGGTGCCTGGGTGGTTCAGTGGTGTTAAGTGTCCAGCTCTTGATTTCTGCTAAGTTCAAAATCTCACTGTTCATAGGTTCGAGCCCCACATCGGGCTCCACATTGACAGCTGCGGAGGGAATCCCGGCTTGGGATTCTCTCTCTCCCCCTCTCTCTCTGCCCCTCCTCCTTGTGCACACTCTAGCACATGTGCGTGCTCTCTCTCTCTCTCTCTCTCTCTCTCAAACTAAATAAATAAACAAAAATAAAATAAAACAAAATGAAATAAACCAGCTATACTGGGAAAAAAGACTAGAGGGGAAAGTACAAAAATGTTAAGAGCAATTATCCCTGGATTGCAGATTTATGGATGATTTTCAATTTTCTTCTTTCAGTATTTCCCTACTTTCTGAATTTCTGCAAGGAGCAAACATTACATTTGTGATTATAAATAAATGCAGTGATGCTTTAAAAAATTTTTTCTCAATCCTTGGGGAAAAAAATCAATTGTACTTGTTTTGAAAGGAGTAATCTAACTCATGAGAAAAGAATTAAAGCAACCTGAAGAGTCCTCTCTTTAGGAGCAGACTAAGAGCAGCCAGCCAATCACCAAGTCCTATAGACAGATGTTACTGCCAGGAAATCCTCTCAGCCACCCATTTCTGGACATCCCCGTCCCCCTAGTCTCATTCAGGCTTCCATGGGGCTTGCTCACATTACTGCAAAAGAGTTTTAACTCTCATCCTGCCCCACGCCCATCCTTCATTCTCACACACTGGTCCTTCTAAGACCACAGATTTGACCACACCACTGCCCTGCTTCCGCACCTCCCCTGTGGCTCCCCCCGGCTTCAGCATTAAGCCCCCTTCCCTTGCTGACTGCTATTCTCCTTTAAGTATACTTGAATTACCTGCAGAGGCAGACCTCACATTCTTAACACGGGTGTACATGTGCAAGTTCACATGTGTGCTTGACCCAAGGCTACAGTGAGTTCTTCCCACCCATTCTCGTGACACGTTTGACAGTCCCCATACTAGCCCTCACCACTCATGCGTACCACCATTAAGAGTCTGCTTATTCATCCCTGTTCTCCCTGTAACGCAAGTTATTCTGGGCTGGAAGCTTGTCTCGTTTCCTGTGGTAACCTCAGCAGCTGGCACCGTGATTTAATAACGGGTACTCAATAACTTTTCAAAATAAATAAACCAACTCAAATATATTGTCGGTTGATTGAAATGGTGATTCAGTCCTAAACATTTAGAGAGATTAGATCTAATCTTTCAGTCCCAGACTGGCAAAAATCACTGAGCTCTATAGATCATGGGGCAAATGGTCCAAAATCTGTCCTTTTGTAAAGAGGCCTGTCTTCATAGGATCACAGAGACCCTGCCCACATCCAAAGGATGAATGATCAAACTCCTTAAAATTAATAGGCGTCTTACCTCCAAATGGAGATGATCCCACCTGTTGACTAGGAACAAATCCAGCTGCTTTTCACTGGGTATCCAGGTCAAAAAGCCAGGTTTTCCTACACTTTGAATGGGTGTCTTAAGAGCGCCTAAGGAGCCCCCCTGCTTTTCTTCTTGTCCCTCCCAAATCAGAAGCTCATTGACACTTGCATTATTCAGTCTTTGTGTGGTGAGTATTGACACTTCTGCTCTTCTTCTGGAATAGTAAATAGTTATCAGATCAAGTCAGGGGCCACCTAGCTATGTAAAGAACTTGGTTATTTGAGGACAGGTATACATGTCTGCTCTCTACCCCCACCCCAACTTGTTTCTATATGATGGCCACAGATCTTGACACAGATTCCTAATGGAAGAGCAGTCTGCCTTTATTTTGTGTGGTGGTTAAAAGCCAGACTCTGGTGCCACATAGACCCAGGCTCACTCACTATATGTAAGGAGCTGATTTGTTTTATGTCTTTAAGCTTCAGTTTCCCCGTCTGTAAAATCCCAGTGGTGACTAACATACTGACTTCCTTGAGACATCATGGGTGGAAATTATGTGCAAGAGAGTGTTTAGCACAGTAAAGAGTTTTTGTAAGTGGTTTTCATGTTTCCCATGATAATGCTGATGGTGATGGTGATGATAATGGAGACCCCAAATCTATCACTGATTAGCTATACGATCTTGAGCCTCAGTTTCCCCCTCCCCCATGTCTCCTGTCCACCTTTCCAGACTTCACTCCTGCTGCAATTTGCTCTCCACAGAGACAGTGTAACAATTAGGACACAGCCCTCCATGGCCAGACCAAACCTGAGGTTCAGCTCTGTGACCTCGGGCAGAGTAGCCTGAGTCAGCCTTCCCATCTGTAGAGTGGGGTACCATCCGCCTTGCGATGTGTTATGAGGACTAAGAGACAAAGCATAGATAATGCTAAGCACAGTGCTTGACACAAAGTACACACAATGAATGTCTGCCATTACTCTTAAACACTCCTCATAATTTTCAACACATTTCACACTCACTCTCTCTTGTCAGATTCCTTCACTAAAACCTTGGTCCTGCAACCACTCTCTATACAGTAGACATGGTGGACACTATGTCCCCCAATTTGCAGCTGAGGAAACAGATTTGGAGGCATCACATCACAGAACCAGTGAGCTCCCAGGCAGGAATTAAGATCCAGTTCTCGAAAGCCAGAGAAGGTGTCTGTTGTGCATCAAACCACCACAACATCAAAGGGCCAAGACATAGGAAATGGAGGGACCACAGACCCACACAGCACGCTTATGCAACCACCTAAGTGTCGTCAAACGTCGAAATCCAACCTCTTTTAAGTCGGCTATTGTTGAAAGTGCCAAATTAAAAGAGGTGGGATTTCTATGTTTGACAACACTTAGGTGGTTGCATAGAAACCAATTTGACAAGAAATTTCATATTTAAAAAAATGGTAAAATAAAATAAAATAAAATAAAATAAAGAAATCCAGCCTCTTATGGTGCCAGGCTCAGTATGCCTCAGGAGGGAACAGTCAATAATGAAAATCGAGATAACCAACAAGGGAGGCCCAGGGGGCCATGGTCCCCTGGGGTGGAGATACATAATCTCTAGACGAAGAATGAGAAACTGACAATGATGTGCCTCCTTGGGAGTGTTCCACAAGGGACAGAGTTTACTCCTTAGTAATTAAAGTTAATCCAAAAGAGGAGTTACCATTTTCAGCTTGTACATTCCACAATACTGTGATTTTTCCCCCCACTGGGTCCTTAATTATCTGTATGTGTTTAATTTACTTTGCAGATGAATTAGGAAAAACAAAACATAATACCTCAGAACTAGAAAAAAACCTTAAGAAATTGTCTAAGACAGGCCTTCATTTTACAGAGAGGGGATCTGATGGCTAGAGTGAGGACATCACTTGAGCAAGGTCACACAGCATGGAGCAGGTGGGACAGAAACCCAGGTCTAATGCTGTTTGCAGTAGCCAAGGCCTCCCCTCCCTCGCAGCTTCTTTCTAATGTAGCTCCCACCAACCAAACCTTTTGGACCACTTTCCCATTCAAGCCTCTCTCCTTGTCACTTAAAATGTGTTTGCAGAGCAAGACTGGACCCATATTAACACAATAACAAGAGCAACAACCATGTCTAAATGCTACTATGTGCCAGGCAGTGTGCAGAGCACTTTTGCCAATATCATCTCATTCAGACCTCACAAAAGCCTCTGTGAGGCAGGAAACGTAATCCCCATTTTACAGATAAGTAAGCCAAGGCTCAGAAACATTAAGTCACTTGCATGAAGTCACACAGCAGATCAGTGGCAGAGGTGGAATTTGAACTGAGATCTGTCTCACCCCAAAGGCTGTCTTCTCCTGAGCCAAATATAAATATTTAATCCCTGGATGTTTGGAATTACCCAGCCCTTGCTTGTTTCCTTTCATCATAAGGAAATCAGAGATGAAAAGGAACTTCACTGAATAGACAGGCCCAACCCCCCAGACTTCCAGCCCAGTACTCTGCCTCACCAAAAGCACACAGAGCTGACTGTGCTTCCTGGGCCCATGGTAATATGAGCATAGTCCCCGTGCCAGAAACTTTCCAGCCTGTGTTTGTTCTCCAAGAGCAGCGGGAGTGCATAGCAGCTCTATAAACAGCTGGAGTCCCCAGGCCCGACTGTCTGCCTCCCAGGGCCTGGCTTTATTCACTGGAGCTAGCAGACCTGAGAGCAGAGAGAGGCAGCCAGGAAAGCAACAGGGGTCTCTATCCATTCCCGACGAGGGGAGGGCTGAAGCTGCCAGCCCTTCATCTGACCTTTCCAGGCAGTTTCATTGAGTCTACACAGAAAACGAAGGTAGAGATTGGAACAGGAATGGGAAAGAGAGAAGAGGGAGAGTGGTCCTGAACTAAACAGCCCCTTTGACAAGCCATGAGAGAAAGATCTGGAACTAGAATCCAGAGGGATCCATCCAGCTTGTCTGGACACATGTAAGTCCCTATACTGCAGCATCTATGTGTCCGTGTAGTATTTACACACATGTGTATATTGTGGGATTGTGCATTTGTGCAGATGTACAAAGAGGCATCTGTAAATGTGTATGCTAG